CCCCAACCAAAAGTACTTAGGTTTGAACTCTAATTGGATAGCACTCGCAGCATTCGTTATAGCACGCACCGACTCCACATGAGGAAGCAAACCTTGTTCAGTTGTCGCGGAATGCTACAGCCTACGGTGGTGTGCGGCAAGCTCCCAGTGTTGCATTTATTATTGTGAAACTCTTGGTGCATGAGTCCAACACCTCGGCCACCACGGGCAGAGTCTGGAAGCAATCGTGGGTCGCGGGCATCTGGGAATGCTTCATGTCATGGACGGGCAACAGATCTCTAACCCACGAATGGTGATCGGGAAAGAGGGAGGGATGATGCGCAGGGCCAAAGGATGGTCCTTCATGATCGACGCGAGCGCGTCCCCCGCGGAATCGACCTCCCGGAGAAAAGAGTGGGACCTTGGATTGCTATCTGCACAATGCACAATACCTGCGCCCTGCCAGATAATAGCTCTCTGCCTTGGTGGGGATATGTCTGAGAGAGAGGAAAGAGCAAATCAAGGACCCCCACGTCCGACGGATACCTGTGTCTCATACTCCGACTCGTGCGGCCGGGGCAAAAATGGCATGATGGTGGATTGGTATCAGATAAGAACTCGAGATGGATGGGGGGCAACGAGCTCCGTTCCATGGATCGCGGTGGTCCATTTTCCCACTTCTCCAGCACAATACGAAAAAAAAGGAAAGCACTGGGCAAGTCCCAGAATGAACAATGCACACGCCAAATATGGCCATTGTCATTATCTATTACGCGAGACGATCGAAAATAAAACCAATAGCAGAACCGCGGGTTGGTTGATCACACGGGAAGCTGGACCGGACCGATAACTAGGTACTCCGTGCAATACTACTAGGGCTCCCAGCTGCCAACTTTTTCGCTTCCTGCAAGGACCTTCTGCGCTTCAATTTGATTAGAACCATGGATCGATGTCAAGCCTCACACGTATGTACCGCTGGTTTATTTTTGTTTCTTCGGGCTCGGTTGAAATAGGCAGGCACAGACGATTTGATTGCTGGGATGGGGGGCTAGCTTCTATGCGAGCCGAGCAAGCAAATGAGCAAGCAAGCAGGCAGGCGAGCCAGTAAGCCAGCCAGCGAGGCGAGGCGAGGCGAGGCGAACAACGAGAGAGCAAGGACGCTTTCTCTGATAGCAGTGCTTGATTATTGCTGATGTTGCATGCAACATCAATCCATTCGATAGAGAATCGCGACGAGCAGAATTTGCAGCTGCAAACTATGTCGACAGCTGCAGGGCTTACTGGCTTAGCTGACTAGTGTGTTCCTGCACTCTGCAAGTTTGCACCACCACCATCGCACAGCCCCATGACCATCGAATCGGGCTGAGGAATTGCTTTCAGATTCCTTACGAATTACGACGACTTTGAGGCCACAAAGCAAGCCGTTCCCTCGACGAGGATGAGGACCAAGGTCCCGTCAGCGACCCTTCCCCCCTCCGCCCCAGGATCACTGCATTAGTCCCTTCCCAGGGCATCTTCAGGACATCCACTCGTCCCCCCCCGGATCTCTCCGTCTATTACAATAAGTTGATCTATAGTAGTCGTACGCCCTGGGCCTCGATTACCTGACCATGGGGACGGTCGGACATGGGGCCGTCCGGGCCGGAGTCAGCGAAGGAAGCGAGGCTTGCACAAGTCCCTTTTGACCTTCTTCACACCACATAAGCATCCTTCAGGAATCCTTCAGGGCATGGATGACAAAATACGGGGAGGGGGCAAACAAGGCGTGCCTTTGGGCGCTGGGGCCAGCAGCGTTGACGCCACAGGCAAAAGCACACAAAGAAAAAAACATAGATTGGAAGGGGAAAGGCAGAAGCAAAATCGACCCCAAAAATCAGACTGAAGAAATCCTCGAGATCAAGAAATCAGCAAGCAAACCGGCATAGACTACCAATAAGCAAGCACACAATCACACACACAAAGCAACGAAGAAATGAGGCAGAGAGAGAATTTTGTTGGTGGACACGAGAAAACAAAAGTAAACTAGGCAGCAAGCAAAAAGGGAAATAGGCCTCAGTGGATGGTAGTTTAGATCAAGCTCCCCTTGATCGTGGGGAGTCAGTCTCTTCCTATCATATGTTTATACATCCAATGTGTCTCATCATCAGCCCATAATAATATGATTGTGGGAGAAGAAGAGGACGAGAGACAGCAAGAAAAAAAGAGACGAGCATCCCGCTCACCGCCCGAGCCAACTAAGCCTCTTCCGTAATCCTCAACGACCGACTTAACCGAGCCTCTCCTCCGGACTAACTCAATCCCCCGCTCCGTCCCCACTCCACCACTATAAAACCTCCTCCTACCTGTCGACCACCACATTTTTCTTTTTTCCTTTTCTTTCTTCGTGCGGCGACGCAACTATTACATTCACCCGTGTTGCCTGGACATCATTCTCTACCGTGATGTTTTTTTCCCAGGTGTCAGTTGCGTCACAGACGAACGGAATTGCACACCGGTTCTACTTTATTGGTCTTTCTGAATTTTTCCTACTAGGATGAGACCATTTGGTTTGGGATCGGACATTACAATTTTCCCATACGGCGTTGGCTGCTTTCCCTTGCGGGATGGAAAGCTTCGCTTGGAGGGATCATTGCTTGTAGATTGAGTCTTGCGTGCAAGAGACTCGTAGTCATTGTAGAAATCGTGGGATAATTCTGGTGATCGTTCTCGGTGATCAGGACGCATGTCTAGATTGTTGCGGGGTAGTACATGAGATATCATTGTATAGTTGATATGCATAGATATCGTATCTTGTATGGCCAGCCAGCCTCTAGTACTTGTTCGAGGGACTGTATGTGCTGTTGTCTGTTGTTGGCATCATGCAAGTTCTATCTGCGTGCACACTCAAGCCCGCCAGCATGAACATTCCGCCAAAGAAACTCCCCGGACACATGCCAAGTACGGAGTACAGTACATGGGTGTACATACTACACACGCCTCGCTTGAAGTCTCTTCTCCTATTTACTCTACTCCCCGGGCTCATCGCCAATCTTCTCCAACTTGCCCATCTCCCGCTTCTCACCGGCCTCGCCGAAGATCCGGATCCGGTCCACGCGCAGCTTCTCACTATCTCCGTCGCCATCCACAAAGAAAATCACCAGCGAGGTGACGTTCTGGAACTTGACGAACCGCAGATCCACCGTAGCTGTACCCGTGTTCGCGTCCCAGCTCTGCGGCTGGATCTCCACCGCCTGCACCGGGTCGATATCGTCCGCTTCGTCGAAGCCCAAGACATGGGAGCGATTCGTATACAGCTTGATCGTCTTGGGGCGCATCGGGCGCTCGTCCTCGTCGCGTTCCTCGTCCTCGTCCTCTCCCGTTGGGAAGGATGTGATCTGCAGCGAGTGCACCTTGACGGTTGACTGGAAGGGCACGAACAGCATCAGCTGCTCATCGGTGTCACTCTCCACCCAGTCCGGACCGCCGGCCTTCTTGCCCTTGCTGTTCAAGGCGGAGGGTTTTGGCCCCTCGAAGAGCGTCCTGGCCGTGCCGTACTCGCTGGCCCGGTTCAACAGCTCCAGTCCCTTGGGGTCGGCTTGGTCTGTGATGTCACTATAGCCCTTGGGCACGGCGCCTCCGATCCAGTATCCCCCGCTGCCGCTGCCACCGCTGCTTGATCCTTCGCCAGATGAGGGCTCGGCTTTGTTGGCCTCCGCGGCGAGTTTACGGACGACGTCGTTGAGCTTCTTCGGGTCGGCGCCGCGGATGGTGGAGGTTGGGCGGCCGCGTTCGAAAACGATGAAGGTGGGCATTCTATTGCGCAGGATCCCCGAGATTAGCCTGGGTTTCCTTCCCTTACCAAACGGTCATGGGAGGCGGAAGGGTCATCATACGCTGTGACGCCATAGGCCTTGGCGATATCTTGCTGGTTGTCAACGTTGATCTTGGTGAATGTGATCCGGTCCTTGCGGGACAGCTGCATGGCTAGCTGCTCGTACGCGGGGGCGATGGCAGTGCATGGTCCACACCAGTCTGCGTAAACTTTTTGGAGCAGAAGGGGTAAACGAAGTCAGCTGGATTTGTTTGTTTGTAGGGTGGTTTTGTGCAACCGGTGTGGATGTGAGACAGGTGGCAGGGGGAAACGAAGGAGGGGGGGTAAGGCGGGGGAGCTGGGACAAAGGGAAGACAAGCTCACAGTCGGCTACGACAAAGGTGGACGAGCTCAGTAGAGAGGCAAATTGCTCTTTGGAGGTGATTTGCACGAGTTGTGACATCGTGGCGGTGGGGGTGAACTGAGCTGAGAGGTGTGAATGAAGAGTTGAAAAAGGAGGAAGAGAAGAGCAAAGGAAGGAAGGATGGGTTGGTTGGTTGTTGTTGACCGGAGCAGACTGGACGGTTCGTCCGTCCCTTCGTCTCCGCCCCGGACTATCCATTATATGTCATCAAGTCCGAGTCTCCTCAACCCCGCGGCTGCTTCTGCGACGATTTTCACCTCTTGGATCACCCTCTTGCTCATGAACACCAACTTCAAAAAGGCGCACTCATTAGTTCATTTCTCATTCACAACTAGAATTACTGACATCTACTCTTGAATCGGTAATTGAGTATGATGTGACCATCATATCCGCCACCAGTCTGCTCATGACTAGGCGCTCAATCCACGAGCTTGGACCATCGTAGTCTTTGTTGGACAGACCTCTCCGAGACAGCAGGAGAGATCATGCTTGCAGGCCAGGGGCCTTGAAGACAAGCGTGAGCGTCTCGAGTCCACCTCGACCTTGAGTGCTCAATTTGCGTTACCAGAGCACCCGCGCTCGCTATGCGGGCTATATTCCGCAAATCACCTTATCGTATCGGAGCCTCAAACGAGACTAGAGAGCGTCTCGTCTCTTTCCCCAGAAGAGACAGATTGATGGCTATTCTACCCGGTGAACCAGGTAAATATGTGGGTGACATCTCACCCTCCGGGGAGGGAGCAAGACCAGAAAAAGAGCATTACCGTATGCTCACACACAAGGATCCCCACCAACATCATCATCACCTCAGGTTCCCTGCTTCTGCACCTCTCCCTCTCGCTCCTGCTCATCATCACTGCCATCATTTTCAACCGCAAACAGGACCTTCATCCACAGACTGCAACCCCGACACCCGACCACGATCTCCCCATTCTCCGCCTCCCTCTCCAAGTCCTCTTCCGTGAGAAGAAATCCCCTCTCATCCCCACAGCGACACCCTCTATACCATATATCTCCTTCGCCGTCTCCACCTTCCGCGCAGCCCAGATCCTCCAGATCCACCACCTCTAACCCCGTGTGAAACAGCACCCCGTTGCCCCCGGCCTTTTCCTGCCCCGCGGCGGCCCGCGCGCGATCCAGTCGCAGGGAGCGATCATACTCGGCGCGTAGAGACGGAACGGAGAGAGTCTTGTATGCAGCTGTAATTTCGTCTATCGTGTAGGGTCTCGTCTGTGGCGGGGAGCTGGGGGTGTTGTTCGAGGCCAGATAACCTAGAGGCGCATCCTGAGCGGGTGTGCTGGCGGCGGCAGCCTTGTCCGGGTGGTGTTTGAGTAGGGCGCGGTGGTATGCGGCTTTGAGTTCTTGCTTCGAGAGGGACGCATTCGTGAAGGGGAGGTTGAGGATCTCGTAATAGTCAAGAGGGAGAAGATTCGTGGTGAGAGTCATTGTGAATGTCCTTTCCTTCCTGTTTTTGTCTCCGTATCCTGGTCTGCTCGGAGGAAGATCGAAGGTGGGGTCGACTGGCGATGGGGGTTTCAGTTTAGTGTTCACGTGAAGAGAGATTTTTCTCCCCTCTCTTGCGAGGCGCGTGTAAAAGATATTCGTGTGTCAAGGAACTTCCCTGTATAACGGGTATCAGATGCTTCGTCGCAAAAAGATGATGAAAAAAGATAAGGCGGCGCGGCGAACGGGTCTTGGCCGTTCCGCATATGCGATCTCGGCCGCCCGCCGCGCACCGCGGCCATAACTCTCGTGACTCCTGGATTTCGGAACTACTGTTGTGACAAGAGCCATGCCGCTGCATCTAACATCACTCGCAATGTGAATTGCAGAATCCAGCGATTAAACTTTTAGAATACAATACTCGAAGGTAAGTCTAATTCGCCTACAGCCTGTTCCTATAATATAACTCATCTAGTGGATAAGTCTAGTATTGATGCTCTAGCTATCTTCTACCTCTAACCCAGAAGACTCGGCTGTACAGTGCCTTCGATGGCAGACAAGCCGAGAACAAAGCCGCACAGAAGGGCCACGGCCGTCGAAGAGCGGACCGTTTACGCATATATCGGATATCAAAATGTCGAAACAAGTCAAGAAACGCAATGCCCCGCGAACTGATTATGCCAAAAGAAAACGCAAACATTATTCACACACCTTGCCCCTGATCTATGCCTCGAAGGTCTTGAAGACGTAGCGGTCCTCGGCCTTGCTGGTGAAAGGAACACCCAGCTCGAGGAGCTTGACGTACACGTCGGTGAACTCCTTGAAGAAGACATCGTTGTCCTTGGCGTAGCGCTCGACGTGCTTGCGGAACTCCTTATCCTTGATCATGGCAAGGTCGGTGGGGAGCATCATCAGGGTCTTGGTGGTCTTATCGGTGAACTGGACGGGGCCGTTCCACTTCCGCTGCTGCCACTTCTCGTCGAGCAGGAGCTTGAAGAAGTCGTTGGTGAAGACAGTGGGGCTGAAGTCCCAGGGACCGTCGAAGCCGGAGCGGTCGGTGTGAGCGCGACCCAGGGCGTGGGCACCAATCAGGGCCACGATCTCCTGGTCGTTGAAGCCCATGCGGTAGAAGATGTCACGGACGTGTCTCTGGTCCTTGGAGGCGTCGGGCAGACGGCCGTCGGGAGTGCAGGCGGCGACGTCCCGGTCCTGACGGCCGGGTCTCCAGGGGATGGCAGGGCCACCGCACTCCTGGATGGCGGCAGAGCCGGCCAGGGTCCACAGGTCAGAGTAGGTGATCCAGGGGAACTGCTGCTTGATGGGCTCGAGGAAGTCTCTGGCGTGCTTCAGACCGGCGTTGGCACCGTGATCGGACTCGGGAGCGAACCGCATGGTAGCACCGTTGCTACCACCAGTGCCGGTCTCCTTGTCATAGGTGCCACTTGCGTGCCAGGCCAGGCGGACAAGGACCTATCAGCATTGCGAGATTAGTGTCGTGTCAGAACAAGAACAAGGACTCTTCAATATTGGTTTGTCAAGACTTACGGGGCCGTAGCTGCCATCGTCATAGTCGGTCTCGTCCACCAGCTTCTTGGCAATCGCATCGTACACCTTCTGGTAGTCCTCCTGGGTGGGGACGAAAGCCTTGGAGGTCACGGAAGAATCGCCGCTCTGGAAGAAGAAGAAAGCACCAGCGGCGCCAGCAGCAGCAACACCAGCCCACAAAAGGCCGTTAGAGGACTTGCTGGAGCCAGCCTCGGAGGCGTAGCCGCGGCGAGCAGCGGTGCGGAAACCCTGGGAGGAAAGAGCATAACGAGCGCTGCGAGCAGCGGGTCTGAAAGCCGAGGTAGCCGGGGTCGAGCGAAGGAAGGCCCGAGAGGCCGAGCGAGCAGCGGAGGCCATTGTGTGAGAAGGAGGTGTGAAACGGAGAGAGATTATGTTGGGATAGGTAGGACGAAAGGGTACACACAGTACTCTTGGGGTGAATCGACTACTGAGGGAGGGTGAGACGAGAAGACGGAGGAAGAGGCGAGAAGGGAAGAAGAGGTGACAGGTAGAGAAGAAAGAGGAGAAAGGACGAAGACAGGGATACTAATAAGTCTACCAGGCTGCGAATCACTTCCATCGGTTTTGCCCGCGACTCCTCCAATAATCCCTGAGGGCACCAATGACAAAGGCGAATTGGGGCGAGCTCTAGCCCCAATCTTTTGAGTAAGCAATAGCCAGTCTTTTGGCTTTCTGTCTCTCTCCGCATTTCCTGTACTTTCTTCTGGAACACCTGAGTTTTGCCGTGGGTTTGTCGGATGAAATGATTGCCGCGGCTGTTGGAGATTACGGGTCGTGGCAACCCCTTGGGGCTCGATCCATGGCTCTTCTCAGGGCTCTTTCCCTGCCCTGGAAATTACTTGCTCTCTTCAATGGATTATACTCCGGAGCTTTCTTCGACAATTATTTTATCTAGCGCAATGGTGTTGTCAGCCCGAGGAGGGGTAGTCTAACCCTTGTCTGTCTTCTCGCGTTGGCGGGATGGGATGGATGATAGATACGATGCGACAATCCGAACGGGGACAAATCCAATCATGAATGTCGAAGCGGGTCTGGTGAGTCCCGATTATAAACTTGCGACTTCTCTTTGGTTCTTTTGTTCATTCTCGGCTCCACCATTTTTCTTCCTCCACTTCCTCCGTCCGTCTTACCAAATCGTGCCTGTCCAGAACTCCAGACTTGTCGCCATTACTCATCATCGGCAATCAACTTTGTACCGTCCTAATTTTGGCATCTCGGATCTACAAAGCATATTGAACTTTGTGTAGAGCCGAAGAAGGTTCTTTCGAAGCCACCGGATGCCTACTGGGTGACCTTACAGGTAGAATTTGCTGGACGATTAAAAGCAACGTTGCGTGACTGCTGGATTTGCGCACACCCTCACGCCTCATCGTAAGACGATGGCGAGATTCGGAATCAATTTCCATTTCATCCCATTTCTGCAGAAGAGAGGGCGGTGATTAGCCCTAATAATCCTCTGCTCCTGATTGTCGATGAGGGCTTCGAGTGCCATTCATCGACTGAGCTGAGCACCGCAACCAGAACATCCTCAAGTTGTAAATTTCAATGCGACAGCACAGCGTACCATGACCGATGCACATAAGCGCAGTAGTCCTCTCTCTGGTCGGAGCTGAGGTCAACGCCAAGACGCAACATGCAGCAACATGCAAACTACAATTTGGGGCTTTGCAAGAAAGAATGTCCGTCGTAAAAATAGTCCTGCCGTTCGATCAAAGCGAACACCAGGGTGGAGTAGACGCAGCTCTGCTAAAAACTGTTTGGTTTTGATCTTCCACTGAACGAACTAAATAAAAGTATGCCTCTTTGCCATTGAATAGGCTAGACGCGCACTGTGTGGGTTTTGTGTGTTCGTGTTGTCTCTGCTTTCTCTACGAGTAGGCAACCAAGAAAATGCCACAAGGACCCCCCACTGCCAACATCATGCAGTTCGGGGGACGAGGTCCATCTGATGCGATTGTTCAAGTTGAATAATCGTAGCAATGAGGATGGGTTTGTCCTTGTGAGACTGGGCCATGGCTGGCTGTCGATGTGACAGATTGCCCAAGTAGCCGATTGTTGATGGGAGAGAAAATTAAAGGAGAAAATGGAAAAAGTCGGACGGCTACGGTTACATGAGAATATATGTTTCGCTTAAGATGGTCATGTGATGCGCTAGTCCTCGGTGGGTAGAATGTTTGTCCGTGCGGGTACCCAGCTCAAGGTCGGTCGGTGATTGTGACTTGGAGGGGTTGAAACTACATACATTGATTCAGATAAAGCTTTGGATTTAATCTTGTTCGCTAATATTACACTTCACTCATGTAATATCTCCTGAGCATCTACCTATTTTCTATGGTGATCTTCGGTGGAATCTCGTGTTCAAGAAGGTTTCATGGAACTCAAGTTCCTGTGACATATATTTAAGAAGGTATCATAGTCACTGGAATAGAAAACGTTAAACGCCAGCGAAGAACTAATCCCAACAATGCACAAAGAGTATCATGCCCCCAACAGGCAATTATCAAAACCAGACATCCCTCAAACCTCAAGTCTGGGTTCACTTCTGGCGTCGGTAGTTGATCTCATCGACTGCCAGCCCAACAAGCTGCGTAATAGGTCCACCCCGTCGCTTCTTGTATCTGCGCTCCGGCTTCGCGCTGTCGTACTCCATACTCGACATGTCTGAGTCTGGCTGCGCCTGCGACTCGAGCATCGGCGCATCCTGGGTGTTGGCCTGGAAGGGCTCGAAGGCGGGCCGGACAGACAACGTCAGCCCGATCCCCAGACAAACGAAGACGATTGCAATTTCCTCCAGGACCGACATGCACAGCTGGATGGTGACGTTTCCGGAGAGCGAGCTGAACTCTGGCTTCTGGGCAAAGGCCGATAGCAAGGAGTATAGGATGCGCACGAAGAGAAGAGGTATCGAGATGCCGACGGCTAGGAGCAGGCGGTGCTCGCCTTCCTCGATCCGCTGATATCTGAGAGAGATGAGGAGCAGCAGGATGCAGAGGCCGACCCATGCGATGAGGTACAGCACCAACCCGGCTTTCGTCTTGGAGTTGTACAGTCCCTCCGTCGGGCTGGTGCTCTTCGTTTGGCCCACGATGCCCAGGATCATGCCTACGATGGTGATCAGGCCGGTCACCTTGAACAGGAGGGGGTGTAGAGCGTGGCCGGATTTCCGTTGGATCGAGTCGTTACTGGATCGAAACACGGGATATTAGTAAGGATGATTATTGAGAACCTGCTGGAGTATACCTACGCTCGAGACAACAGGCCAATGCAGGCCCAGGTTAGAGGCGAGACTCCGATGGATGTGCAGACTGCCCATGCCACGTAGAGATCGACTGATGTAGGATTGTTGATGGTGGCTAGGTAGCAGCAGGACCCGATGATTCGAGCTAACGAGAATATCACGAAGAATATCCAGCCCGAGCTTCGTGTGAAACCATGGCGAAAGGCCATCCATAATGCCGTGAATAAGGTGGGGATGTATACTATTAATTCGAGGATGGAGATTCCATGGCGATAGTCGATAGCCATGATTGCAATAGTCGGCTGAACAAGACTTGTCAAGAGAGTATTGGGAGGAATGGTGAACAGAAAGTCTGAAGCTTCATATCAAAGCCAATGAAGGGGAGTAGTTCGCTATTTAATTCCCTCAACTCGGACTATCTCCAGTCTCCATGAGGAAGAATTTTAGCCTGAGAACCACAAGGCTGTGCAGATACTATGATATTGCGAGTCTCCAGCAGGATCGTCGGGCTGTGTTTGCGACCCTCATAGGCACTCAATCTACGGTTCCAAGCAATATGAAGTGAAGAATACCGCATCCTTCACAGGGCGGGATTGTTTGAGGAGATACTTTGGGCCAATGAATAGGCTGGGCGACTGGGAGGTGCTCGCTCTGCATACCTGAAGCGGGTTAGTTGGAGAGCCTGAGGCTTGACTGGACCCAGCCGCCATCCTGGACCGACTGTTGGACTCCACTCGGGCTTGGCTCTTTCTTACTGTGTACTCTTACCTCTTACTTGTTCCGACTTGGCTGCCAATGTCAGCACTATGAGGAAGACTGACTTCTGACAGTTTAGATTTCTTTCATGCAACGTCTTTATTGTAGGCTTCCATGGTCTCTTTTAACGTATCAAGTGTCCGCTCAGAGTCATGAGCGACTGGTGCTCTTCGGTTAGCCCGTTTCCTGCAGGCAGTCTCCTACCAGTTTTCCGAGCTCGTCGAACTCCGGCTAGCCATGGTATACCGTGGTAAACCGAGTGGCGGATGCGACACCTGTCGCGCGAGAAAAGTCAAGGTATGTTCTTGCGGTCAAGGCTGAGCAAACAATCTCTGTCGTTGTTGGAAACTAGTTTCGGCCCCCACGACTACCAATGCTGATCATGGAGCTTAGTGCGATGAAACAAGACCCGTCTGTCTACGCTGCACCAAAGCTAGGCGTACCTGCGCCGGTTATCGGGATCAACTTTCCCTGTGGTTTAAAGACGAAAGCGACGCCACCGTGCAGAAAGTGAAGGCATTGGATAAGTCGGGCTCGGACGACTCAGCCCCACCAACAACGGCCGGTGTAGCGATACGACAGGCGGCTGCCCAAGTATATCGCCTCCAGCACTTGACCTTCTCAATCCCCGTCTTCAATTTTGCGCTGGACCACATCTTCCAAGCCACCTGCCTGTTTCTCAAGTCGTATTCATGGCTCAATGTCTCATGCCTTGTAGAACAGTCTCAGACGCATGCCCTCTCTACTGGCGAAAAAGCCATGATGACGGGCATTGCGTCGGTGGGTCTTGCTAATCTCGCTAATCTTCATAATTCACGTCCCTATCGAATATCTTCAAGAAGCGAGTATACCACTGCTTTGCAGTTAACAAATGCTGCTCTTTGTGATCAAGAAGCGGCCAAAGAAGACACCACGCTCACTGCGGTGGCTTGTCTCTCGTTGTATGAAGTGAGCTCTTTGGGACTCTCCCCAGAACAAAACAGCTGACTTGATCTGCAAGATTATCTGCTGCGACAAGGAATCATCCTTGCTATCTTGGTATGAACATGCACGAGGCATTGCGGCCCTACTCGAACTTCGTGGAGAGGAACAGCTCCATCGTGAAACCGGTCTGCAAATGTTCCAAGTCCTGAGAAATGAAGTGGTTAGCTTCGGGATCCGTCCAAGCTAGGTTACGGAGTGCATATGTCTGACTTTCTCATAGCTCATCGGTTGCCTGCAAAAGCGAACACGAATGCCTCCTACTCTCATCAGGACTCCATATCGGCCAAATTCCACTGCTCAGAGTTATTGTGCAGATAGGCTGGTGGAGATTGCTGCCGGTCTATGCGATCTTCAAGTTCAAATGAGCGAGGAAGCAGTCACTGACAGCGTCAGAATACTTACGCTCGCCATGAAGCTTGAATCTAAATTAGAGGATTTCAGTAAGGAACTCTCTGCTGAGCTGCCCTACTCAGTAAGTCTGCGAAGCAATTCCCAGGCCTCACGAGAGGAGGCGGTAAACGCGGTCAGTCATTACAATGGTTATTACCATGTGTACCAGTCCATGTGGACGTGCAATACTTGGAACAACTACCGATACATCCGGATCCTCGTCAATAGCTTGATTTTGGCACAGTTACGACAATTGATGTTTCAATCCGAGCGCAGCTCAGTTACCCCGGGCATAAAGAGTCTTTGTCGTCACGTCCGCGCTCTTTTAAGGCAACTAGCGATGGATATCTGCTGCGCGGTTCCGTACAAATTCGGCCTTGCTCAGGAAGCCGAGAGACAAACTCTGGATTCATTGGTAACAAAAGCCGGCACTGGGTTCACTCTGCTTTTGCCCCTCTATCTTGCTTCGCTAGTCGATGGAGTGTCGAGCCCTGTCCATGCTTGGGCCATGAGGTGCCTCGGTATTATCGGGCACAAGATGGGAATACGGACAGCTGTATCCCTTCTGGATGTGCTCGAGAGAGAGCAAGGTTGGACGGCCTGGATCGACTTGACAGATGGTGCAGGGGATGAATAGACGTATATAGTGGAAGGACTGTGGTGCCTAAGGCATCACAAGACAGCGGAAACTCGGAGACTCATTCACGTGACGCACTATTGTGTCTCATTTATAAGAGTTTTCCTCCGCGCGGCAAGAGGGAACCTTTTTTCTTTTTCTTCTTTACACTTATCATACCTCACGAACGCATAATCAACCTACACTCCTATCCTCCATAGGATGGCAGGTCATATTGGCGTACCAGAATGACGTTTTCAACACCGGGCAAATGTCTTGCTATGGCTTCATCACCGTGCTGGGTTTCTTCGGGAGCCTCGAGTGCGATGGTGATGGAGTCAACTGCTGCTCATACATGCCGACGCAAGATCGTTTCTTAACTGTGTAAACGGAGAAGAGATCTTTCTTCTTGTATTGTAGTCGTGGTCACACGCGCTCATGCCGGAGACCGTTGCAGCGATCCAGAGAGTGTCACTTGTGATGCTTCACGTAAGCGCGGATCAAGCAACCAGGTTACCGAGCCCGTGGATTGATCTTCAGGAATCATTCGATTAGGTTTCGCGGGCGCAGTGAGTTGAGTATCAGAACTTGGCTCAAGTCCTCAACGTGGGTTTTAGTGATTGACGAACGCGTCCGACTCCGGACCCGAAACTATCTTTTTTGAGCTTGAGTGAAAAGGAGTCTGTCCTTTGCCCAGACCGCGCATGGAATTAAAGTGAACCAACTGCCTGCAATATATTAGCGACATAATTTGGGGGAATAATGCCAATGGCGCTGAAAATAGAACGATTGTGGCCCGTTCTCTTAAAAACTGGGTCTATTGTCCAGTTGGGGGCTGCTTGCCCCTGACTCTTGACAATGGAGCAGAGAAACAAGCAGCAAGCATTGCATGGATGGATGGATGGATGGATGGATGGATGCATCGGCGGGCGCCGTCTTGAACTCCGGATGCAGGACCGAACGAGGCTGCTTCTCAAACCTCGAGTAGTTGCAGTCTAGATGTTTTTTCAATCAATCAGTCAGTCAGTCAATCATCATTGAATTGGTTCAAATGACTACCGTAATCTGCATTAATGATTACAGAAGAGTGATTAACATTAGTTAGTTAGTAGTTAGTAGTAGAGAGGAGAGACAAGAGCGCGACTTCGAGGAAATGGAATCCACCATCCCAACTTTCCTCCCCACATCTTCATTCATTCATTATTCATCCCTGGCCACTTTCTTCCTCCGTCGGCCCTCTCCTCTTACCTCAGCTTTACTCAGTCTATTACCTCCCCTCCCCCACCTCTTCTATCCTTTTTTGATATTCTATTATCTTTTCTCTCAATTCAAACGGCTCTTCTTCGGCTTATGTCCTGGATGCTGATTGTGTAAATATGCTTGATTTCGCTGCCTGAGTGTCTTCTTCTTCCCCCCCCCCGAATTCCCCGTTCCGGGAGCTCGGCTCGTGCATTCACCTGAGACTTTTATCTCTACGGAACCCCCCTGCAAGTTTACGACCGCAAACTCTTTTGTTCTTGGCTCTCAACACTTGGAGCCCGTCATTCTACTTGTACAATATAGTTCGTAGCCTTTTGGGCATCGTGCGACCATGGTGGGAGGCATTAGCAAGCGGCAGCAATACCGCAATGAGCGGGCATTGCAGGACCTCATCCGGTCGGTTCCTGGCAACGATCGATGCGCTGATTGCAAGGCTATGAATCCTGGTGAGTATCAAGACCTACAAACGTCCTGTCGCAATGTGATGCTAAGAATCTCGTGAAATCCAGGCTGGGCTAGTTGGAACGTACGTACCACGAGCGATCTATGCACGGATTCGAGCCCCCCCCCGATTAAGGACATGGTATATTGACTACATCGGATACAGATAGGCATCTTTCTTTGTATGCGATGCGCGGCCCTACATCGGAAGCTTGGCACGCATATTTCCAAGGTCAAGTCTTTGAGCATGGACTCATGGACGGACGACCAAGTCGATGTGAGTGAGAGCTACCCCACGAGCTCAAGTTGTCCTGGTCTGACTCGTGATGGGTATGGTGGATGCTAGAATATGAAATCGCACGGGAACAACATCATGAACAAGATATTCAATCCTAAGAACGTGAAGCCACCCGTCCCGACCGACGTCGATGAGTCCGACTCGTGCATGGAGCGATTCATCCGGCAGAAGTACCAGCATCGGTCTCTAGACGAGAACAAACAGAAGCCTCCGAGTCGTCATGACTCGGGGTATGATAGATCTCCGGAGGGGTCGCCGCCTCCCTTGCCTCCAAAGCCCGCCAGGCCGTTTGGCTTCGGCCTTCGTTCGGCCTCATCCGCAACGAATCTCAACCGCATCTCCAACCGCAGCGCCTCCTCTCCTCAATCGGACAGATTCGATTCACCTTCGCCGGCGCTAGGTGCAAGGAAGGCTTCGGGGGATGCGTCGTTCGACTCGAAACTGGCTACCCTGAGGGATATGGGGTTCACAAATGAGCGTCGGAATGCTATTGCTCTCCGCGAGTTGAATGGGAACCTTGATAAGACCATTGAGACGTTGATGAGGCTGGGAGAGGGCAACGGTTCTGTGGTGCGACCTCCTGCTTCTGCTTCTGCTTCTACTCCTAGCGTCGATTCCTCCAAATTCGGCAATCCCTTCGATCAATTAGACTCAAGGCCAGCAGCCCAGGCCAGCAGCAACTTCAACCCTTTCGATGCACAGCCGCAACCGCAACCACCACAGCAGCAGCAGCAGCAACAGCAAATGTTGCCTCAGTCGGCCTCTATGCAACCGCTTGAGCAGTCGTTTCAGGGCCTGCAGGTCGCCCAGCCCTTGTTTCCGCACTCTACTGGAGGCTACCCGTACAGACAGTCCTCACTTCCTCAGCCTCTTTATCAGCAGGCGCCTCCCGCAGCTTCTACCCTGAACCAGGGTGGATACGTCGCATCCCCACAGATAATGGACGGGAGCCACAACCCCTTCTTCCAAACCGGAGCTCAGCCGCAGGCCAGCCTGACCACTCCGGGTGCGAGCCCCAACCCCAACATGGGATCAAGCAACCCCTTCTTCGGACAGGTTCCATCACAACAACCATCCATGCAGGCGCAAAACCAGGCGTCAGCCGGTCCATTTGGACCTCCGCGACATGCGAATACCATGCCTATCATGTCTGCGACCTCGCCATTTGGCCAGCATTCGCCATACCAGCAGCAACAGCAACAGCCGCAGCCGCAGCCGCAAGCGCAGCCCCAGCTCCAAGTGCCGCCCACGCAACCAGGGCAGACCTCCATGAACCCGTACCAGATGGTGAATGCGCCGCCCACGCCGCAGAGTGCGGGATATCCCGCTCCAGCGCAGTACGGGTACCAGATGCCCGCCCAGCATTTGTATCCGCAGCACACAGCCCGTGTCGACAAGAACAGCATTCTTGCACTGTATAACCTCTCTCCCCAACCCCCTACGATCCTCGAACACCCTCAAACCCAACAGCCCCCCGCGGCCGTCAACCCAGCCCAATCAGTCCCGATGAACCCACCACCACCTTCCCACTATCAACAACCCGCACCTACCTTCCAACAGCCCGGCGTCACCGATCCTCAAGCGACGGGGACACGGAACCCCTTCTTCACCGCCGCTCCAGCCGCCGTTCCAGCCGCCCCTGCTGCACCGTACCAAATGGCTATGCCCCAAGCTGCTCCCCAGCCCACGGCAGGTTTCACAATGAACAACCGCCCCGCGACGTCAGCAGGCGGGTTTCCCCGCGGTCACATGAGCCAGCAAAGTGTGGACATCAATGGCTTCCAGAGTGGCCGCCACAGCCCGGACGCGTTCGCCAGCCTGAGTGCACGCTACGGCTAGACATCTCGATTCCGCTCCAGCCTTTCATGTGTTCTTTGCGGTTTCTTCCCCTATCTTTTCTTGAGCGTATATATTACATCTCCTCTTTGCCCTCACCCGGGGATTCTTCTTTTCTTTTTACTTCTTCTTTTGGATATGTGTACCTGTGTTGCATCATTCATGGCGTTCTTGAGGCGATATATAGTAACTGTATGATGACGCTGTCCTTGACAGAGCGGTATATACTTTTTCTGTTTTTTTGTCTACAAAATCGGTCAAATTGTTACATAAAGTTGAAATGGACCAATAAAAGCTCAATGTCGGAGTTGGTTGCTCCGGGCTGGGATTGCAATGTCTGGAACTCATGCGCTTCCTCTTCGCGAGTGAGTTCAAGATTATCTGACCATAGCAAGTACTGCTCGGACTCAGGAAGGACGATAGTCATATACTGTACTTTATTGATCTGCGTTAGCCAGTCCAGAGTTCTTTTCCAATTTATGTTATCATTCAAGATAGAACCTGCTATCATCAAACCTAACCAGAAAATCACTCAATAGATCAGAGCTTGAGAAAGGAATGAAGAAAAGGAAGAATAAGAAGAAGAAACAGAACGCCTCGAGAACATTTCCCAGCCAGCCCAACACCCAATCGTTGACCACAAGCTTCCCTATCCCAACTTCCCCGCTCAAATGCCCTACTTCCTCACCAGGTTGGCTAGAAATCGCCTACAAGAACGATCCCAGTCCGCTCGAGCTGTCACTCGACCCACTGCTACCGCCACCGAAGAGCGAGCTCAGCCCGCCAAGCCCAGACAGCCCGGAAGATCCTGAAGAAGCGGCGGATGACTCGGAGCTTCCGCTGCTGGTGCTCGAGCCAGTGGTCCCGGACGACGTAGTGGACGTAGAGGTGGTTCCCAGCTGCGACTCCAGCCACTGCGAGGCCTCGCCGGTGTTGGCAATGTACGAGAAGTGCGCGGGAAGCACGAGCAACGTGCCGTCGCAGACCATGTCGCCGGCGGCGCAGTAGATCTTGACCTTGTCCTTGGGGAAGTTCTGGATCTGGCCGTGTTCCTGGGCGTTCCGGGTGTAGCCGAAGAGGACCACACCCTTGATCTTATCCTTGACACTGTCGTCGAGCTCCTTGATGGAGTCGTCCATCACTGCTGTTCCTTGACTATATAGATCGGATTTGTCGTTAGTATATGTTATTGGGAGGGTGGATTTAGTTGAGTGATGAAGGAGCGGGCTTACCTATAACCACCGGCCAGGATCTGACTGTTGGGACACTTGGATGCAGCAAGGTTGAAGAGAGATTTGGCTTCGTTGATGGCCGCTGGGGAAGTGTTATCGGGCAGGGCGTTGGACATCAAATCGGCTGTGTAGGCGGGACCGACGCCCTGGCAGAGGACTTGGCCGGCCTTGGCCATCTTGAGGTTGTTGCAAACGGCCGGACCAGTTGAGATACCCTGTTACTGTTAGCTAGAGTACAGAGGAAGGAGTAGAGAGATGTGGCTTACAAGGAGACCCGGCTCCGTGGATGCGCGCGCAAAGATGAAGATGATGGGCTTGCAAGAGCCATCGCGGAGTTCGTTTCCAGAACTGACTGCAGAATACTCAGCAATGATGTCCGAGGAAAGAATAAAGCAGCGAAACCTTACACTGACGGGTCTCAAGCCCCATTGGGGTGGCCGCTGCAAGGCCCATGAGGCCAAGGAAGAACAATGGAAGCTTCATCGGGAGTAGTTGGGTGCTGCTGGACTGGGGGAGCTTCGACCAGACCAGGCTCCATCGCGAACCTATTTATACAGATTTCTCATATCCCCATGATTGGGACTAGCTCACATGTCGTCGAGGTGTTTTTCTCTTGGATGCCGAGATAGAATGAATTTTCTGGATGTGTAGCTTGTTTCATGCACGATTCTCGTTTCATACTGTCGCAGACAGTTCGACAGTCCTCATGAGAAAGAAAAACACGGACCACCTCCTTGATACTGTTGGCAACCACGGGTGTATGCTACCGAGGACCCTGAACAGACCCTGAACGGGTGGCTTGTCCGAAATCGGTGGATGAGGCTATTCGCTCGACGGCCAACGGCGTGTTTCAGCACAGGGCCACTTTTTGGGTCGGGGGGTAGATCTGGGTCCGCTGGTGGCAGAGAAGTCCGCCGGCCAAGCCGCCGGGGTCTGCCAGGCACCGATATTTTCTCTTGCCATGTGCTTGAGTTTGTTGTTGGAGTCTCAAAAATGAGACGAGCGATCAGGGCCTAGTCTATTACTCGTACATGATAGTGTGTGCACGGGGATCGAACCAAACACGGCCGATGATGGCATGCGGATCAGGAACAGGGCATTTGTTCCAGAATCCATATCCGAAGTAAACCCTTAAAAGCTGATCTATGGTTCGCTAGTGATCCTTGATCGGCATTTTAAATCCCTTGGGGGAGTGTAGACTGATCAGTTTGAGGTTAATGAGTAATGTAACGTATCGAAGAGTAGAGCCCGGTTGGATTTCTGATGCCGAGGTATATTATGGAACATTGCACGGCTATTGTTGGAGCAAGCCGAATGAGAATACGAGACCTCGAATGAAGCCAGAGAATCATAGTCAGCACAGTCAGAGATACAGAGATATTGACTGGAGAGAGAAAGATATCCTGGATTGAGAAGTGGCCGGTAGATAAATGAGTGTTCGAGTGTTCGAGTGTTCGAGAAAGTGTGTTGTAAGCGGCATGTCCCGTGACCAGCTATGCTTGCTCTGCTTGAAGCATCATCCCTTCCTGTTTAGGCTGACAGCAGTTACCATCAACTGACATCACCTTTGTATACTCTCCGAATCAACCTTGCTATTGAAATTGGTGATCTGATAGCCACACTATTGAACATTCTTCTGGAAGACTAGCAGAAGCCTAAAACCCCATTTCCAGTTACCTTCGAGATTGATTGCCTGCGTGTTGGAACACAGTGTTGCGCAAGGTTGGTGCCTATCTCAATTAAAGACCGGAGTAGTCTTGTCAAGTACCAATCTATTCCCCGCTAGCGTCATAGGAAAAAGATTGATCTACTGCTCTATCTGACAATTAGCGTAGGGCGCTTCACAGCCAACCACCACCTGCACTAACTTGATACAACAAGAATGCCGATCAAGTGCATCTGCGCAAGGTTTCTGGTCTCGCGAGACCAACAGCCACCAGCCAAACTAGAGCGCCGGGCCCGACCCCCGGACCCCAAGGCACGGCGCCAGCGCCAGCGCCAGCGCCCACCACCACCACCGGCGGCCGTGGCGCGCAATTCCATCGAGGAGATGCATCACAAGGCGCGCAACACCACCCGCGCCCATCTGCGAGAACACCACCGCCGGGTCCAAGCGTCACCCTTAGAGTCTCTCTCCGAGTCGGAAGCCAGGGACCTCGGGATCGACTGCGTCGAACTCCCTCTCCGCCCAGATGGGCTCTTACCTGAAGAGACAGACGAAGCCGTATACTTCCACCCGTGGCCGCTGCGGCGCCTCGAGGCTCACCCTGTCGACATGACGGACCCCACCACCCGGGAATCTGCCCGAGTCAAGGAGAAGCTCTGGGCGCGCTTCGACCGGAAGGGGACTGACCAGGACGGCTTCCTGAGTGCGGTCCTCGCGGACGAATTCCTTGAGTTCCTGCGCGAGGGGCCGCTGGGTCGTGATACATTGGAGCAGTTCTCGCTGTGGACTGAGGGGTCAGCTAAGTGAACTTACATATTTGATTTGTTGCAACGACTTAGCATTGCTGATAGTGGGGACAAACGGAGGGAGCCTCTCACAGAACCTTTGAAGGTGGCATTATTCGATCGCGGTACATGGATTTCAGCGCCTCGGCGGATCCGGAGGCGGGGCCTGGGGCTCCGCATGCGGCGGAGTTCAAGTTCGAGGAGGCGTGGTGTGCGCGCAAGGGAAATCCCCATGTCAGTCTCATCGTGACGCACAAGGTAGCTCCGGAGGAGAAGTTGCTGCGCACCGAAGTCCTGGCCCTGGTGGGCATTATGAGGACACGGCTGAGTCGGGCGGCTCTGAAGGAGCATACGATCATCCCGGTAGGAGACTTCTTTGTGACTAGCATTTCATAAACCTTCCACAGGCTGAACCATTCACCATTTCGGTATAGATCAACATGATATCATGCATGAGACAGCGTCGAGCGAGGATACTCCAGGCGCACTTCGACGGCGAAGACCTGGTGATTCGCAAGAGCCATCTCTACGACTTCACCACGCGAGAACTTCGCGAGAAGAACATTCCCTTGTTCTTGCTTTACATGGCCAGCAGGCCTATCGGGGATACCAAAGCCTACAAGAAACGGATTCGGGAAGTGTAGCCAGTAGCTACCAATGTGTGAGATGACCATGTGAAACTTCTCGCTCCATGTAAAGCAAACCTAAATCAAAATTCATTCTCCTTGGAAATATGAACACAAGAAGAACAAATCCTCATTCCCCATGCCATCCTACTTAATTCCTTCACGTAGATTCAGGAAACCCCCAAATTACCAACCCTAAATCCCCAGCATACATCCCCCAATAAATCCCATCAAATGTCAAGAGCCATCATACCCAAGACTCTTCAAGCCATAGCCCCATCCTCCTCCTCCTCCTCCTCCTCCTCCTCTTTCTTCACCCCGCCCAAATCCTTCTTCTCCAGCTTGAAAAACCCAAACCCCTCCTCCCCAACCCCTTCCTCCTGCACCTCCACCTTCACCTTCGCCTTCTTGGCCGCCTTCTTCGGCACCGCAGCGCCTTCACCATTCGCGTGGTCCCTACCCCCAGTCCCGGCCTTACGCTTGGGCTTGGTGGGAGTCTCCGCGTCGGCGGTGGTGGTGGCTGCTCCATTCTTCTTAGCCGGGGTCGTGATAGGGGTTGTATCGGTGGAGTTCGAGCCGAGGGCTTTAGCATGTCTCTTGAGTTTGGCTATGCGTTGTTCGATGGCGCAGGCGGTACAGTCTTTTCAAGTTGTTAGGGGGATTGCCAGTTTGGGCATATTTCAGAGGGAAAGCCCGGGGCGGGGGTGAGGGGCGCAGGTGGGAGCGGAATGAGAGAATGGAAGAATAGAGAAGGAAAGAGACCTAAGTCAGATTTAGATGGAAGAAAAACATACCTCCCCCCATGTGTTGGGCCAGTCTCTGGGAGTCAAGTTTCAGTTGGCCGTGGCATTGGTTGAGGACGCCGACGAAGAGCTGGATTTTCGGGTATAGAGGTGTTAGTTGTATGCATGCATAGTAAGGAGATTAAGCTGGGGAGAAGAGAGAGGGGGGGGGAGGGTGTAAAACCTTTGCGTCGGCTTCGGAGGTCCATTGCACTGGCATTTTGAGATCTTGTTGCTTGGTCTTGGATTTGAGTTACGTGTTGTAGGTGTTGTTGTTGAGGTTCGGGCTCTTGTCCTTGGGTTGTGTAGAGGGTAGTATCGTGCGGGGAGGGATGAAGAAAGATGGCTGGGGGATGAGGAGAGTGGGAAAAGAAGAGAAAAAGAAGAAGGTTAGGAAGAGGAGATTTATGGGGTTTGTGTTTGTTGGACTCGAGAAGGTTGGCTGGATGATTAGTGTTATTTGCTGGTGGTGAATGTTGCAGATGTGAAAGGTAGCTGAGCTGGGAGTTGGGAGGGTAGAATTACTGGCAAGACAACGGGAAATGTTCGCTGTGTCTTTTTTGTAAGTGTCTTTTTCATTGAGAAGTCTGTCTGCGCTTGTCGAAACGGCTGGTACTTCAGCTCAAAAACAAGGTCCTATCGCATGATACGTTGTTCATGAGGATCTACTCAACCCTGACTATGAGGCTCAGGCGTGTGTCTGTTGAGTTCACATGCGATGTATAAATGGACTGTACCTTTCAAGGTTGGCTTGAGTCTGTAGACATCAATAAAAGATGTAGCGGTAGATGTGAAAAATTTCACAGATAATGATAAATAAGTGCGCATACCCCAGCTCTATTAGGGCTGCTGCTCTACACATTTGAGGTGATGGATATGGGTAAGGATAAAGTATGATATAGTAAGGTATATTGTCTTTCCACACACTCTGGGAACATTGAACTACCACCCACCCTTACCAGCATTTCCCGTACTTTCCTCGATCTTCTTGGGCATGCCTCGCGTCGGCTTGGACTGCGCCGCCTCGTGCTTGCGAAGCTCCTCGGGAACCCGGGAGATAGGCGACTTGATGAGCATCTGTTTGAGGTCGTACCTGCAGAGGACAAGTCAGTAAAAACGAAGTGAAAAATACCAAGCTGAAGACGAGGTAACTGAGAAGAACTTTGAAGAACATGGAGAAAAAGGAACATACATAACGTCGGAATCCTCGTTCCCGAGGAAGGTGATGGCAACACCACTCTTTCCAGCACGACCCGTACGACCAATACGATGCGTGTAACTCTCGATACTCGTCGCCATGTTGAAGTTAATGACAAGACTGACATCCGGCACATCGATACCTCTACCCGCCAGGTCGGTCGCCACCAACACATCGGTCGAACCGTTCCGAACGGACGCCAGCGCCGCCTCACGCTGTTCTTGCGTCTTACTACCGTGCAAAGTAACAGACGAGAAGCCCCACTGTTTGATCTCCCGAGCGATGGCGTCACAGTTGCGCTTGATGTTGACGAACACAATGATCGGAGGCCGGAAATCGCCCGACGACAGGATCTCGCCGAGGCGTTTCTTGCGCTTGTCTTCTCCAGCGATCATCTCCACGCGCTGCTCGACTGTATCGACGGCTTCACCGGCGCTACCGATGTTCACAATGGCTGGGCGGCGGAGGTATTTGCGGGCGATGCGTTCGACGGCTGAAGGCATGGTGGCCGTGTACATCATTGTTTGACGGTAGCGTTGGAGATGGGCCGGTTGGTTCGAGTTGATATGGCGGCTCATTGCAATGGAATTCTCGGCTTCCTCGGTGTCCGGCTTCTCATTGGTAACAGGCAAGGCATCCAGGATTTTGTTGACAGGCTCTTCGAAACCCAGATCGATCATCCGATCAGCTTCATCCATAATCACGTAGCAACATTGACTGAGGACGAGCATCCGACGCTCGATACAGTCGACGAGACGACCAGGCGTAGCGATAATGATCTCCGCACCATCACGGAGACTGTAGGCCTGTTCCTCCAACGAGTGTCCACCGACGATACTGACGACGTTGAATCCAAGCGGTTGGGTGAACTTCTTGGCTTCAATCTCGATCTGTTGCGCCAATTCACGAGTCGGTGCCAGCACAATAGCGTAGGGTCCGTCGTTCTTGCGCCATTCGAATTCGTCAATCCGAGGAAGCTCCGCAATGTAGCAGAGAAGTGGGAGAAGGAATGCCGCCGTTTTACCGGAACCAGTGACAGCCACACCGATGAGGTCGCGATTCTGCATAGCGATGGGAATAGCCGCACGCTGGATAGGAGTGGGTTCTTTATAGCCAACCTGGCCGATAAGCTCCAGTAGACGCGAGGGCAGTCCCGATTCATCCCACGAGCGCATTGGATTGGGCACGCTCCCACCCTTGGTACTGATGTTGAAATCTTCCTTGAAGATACGCCAATCGCGCTCGCGCATATGTTCCAGCTTCTTCTCGGACCAGTGCTTGTCCAGCTGGTTGCGGGTACTCTCTTCGCGGCGACGGCGCTCCATCTCCAGGATTTCGCGCGCGCGGATGCTGCCAGCTTCGCGGTCGCGGTCCTCTAAAGCCCGCGCGTAGGTCTTGGCCACTGCGTCAGCCACATCGTCGCCGAAGCCAGCCAGACGGCCACGGCCGAAGAAGTTGGCTTCGTGTCGGTGTTTGTAGAGCGGGTTATAGTCGCCGCTAGTGTCTTCCTCAGCATTCCACTCGAAGTTGAACTTGCGATCCGTCGTGCGCTTGCGCTTCTTCTTCGCGGAGAAATTCGACGTCTGGTCGGCGCCCATGTACCGTTGCTTGATAAGCGCAGCTTGTGCTGCTTGTTCCTCCTCAGCGTCATCCACGGCGCTTCTTCTGTTCTTATGTTGTTTGCCAGGGCCGCTGGTCAAGCCATACGACATCGGTTTAGGGGGAGGGGGGGGCGAGAGATCGTAGTTCTTGGTGTTGCGCATCGGAGCCGGCGCGCTGGGCGCATCGGAAGAGTTGCGCATGGCTCGTGGACCGGTGGGGATCGAGCGGGAGTTGTCATTGTGGCGGGACTCTGATGAGCGGTTGGAGGATGTGTTGTCGATCGTCTCGGAGGACGTCTGATCGGTCTTGAGTCTGCGCGCAGCTTCGACTTCCTTTTGGCGCTTCTCAAGGGCGATCTTTTCTCGTTCCTTCTTCGACAGGAATTTGGGCTGGGAATTGTTAGCTGTATAGCTTGATTTGAACGAAGCCCGAGTGAAATCTACCTTGGCAGCTGCAGCATCAGCTTCTCGTTTCTTGCGCACCAGCTCTTCGACACTCAGAGGTATTGCAGCTGGTCGTTTCGGGGCTCCCCATCCGACTTTCTTCTTCTTGGATTCTGGCTCTGGCGGCGGAGCAGGTGGAAGGTCCTCCGGCGGTGGCGGAGGTGCGGACGTGTCTGGCGGCGGAGGAGGAGCGGAGGAATCCTCTGGAGGCGGGGGAGGAGAAGGAGGACGTTCGATGGGTTCTGGAGGTGGCATAGGAGGGGGGGGAGTCTCCAAAGAACCGTTAGTGATTATACCATCCATGGTGAATTGTGGAGATAGAAAGAGGGAGGAGATACAGCACGCCGCTGGTAGGCGTTTGATGACCGACTATCAAAGGCGGCAGGCGGCGCCGCGGAGTCTAGAATTTCTACGGGCGCGCAAGGAAGCTGGGACCGCAGTCAGTCACGTGCAGAGTATTTTGAAGTATACAGTCACCACCTATTGTTTTTTTATCATGAATACCTACCTGATGGAAGTTGCAGATATAACTGATGACTTTCTTCTTGGCCAAAAGCCTCAGTGAGTTGATATTTACAGCTCGATGACCGGAGCGAAGCACCTCTCAGCACCTACAAATGCAAAACAAACACAGTAAGCGAAGTAACTAGGCAGCTCAGCATCTCTCCTCATAAACAACCTCGAAGTCTCCCAGATGTACGACATGGCAATCCTTCGTCTCCTCCAAGAATCGTGTTCCATCCTCCCCCTCTGCAAGCCTCACTTGGAACCTCTCTAACAACTTCGCCAACACAATTCGCATCTCGATGTAGGCCAGCCCTTTGCCAGCGCAGGTATATGCACCTGCGACAAACGGCATGAAGGCTGACTTCTTCAGCGTCAATCCTGGCTGTTCGCCGGTCCAGCGCTCGGGGATGAATTCTTCGGGACGGACGTAGTTCCGGGGGTCTCGCTGGACGGGGAGAACAGGGACGCTGATAATCGTGTCGCCGGGAATGAAGACGGTGGTGGTTGATGAAGATGAGGATGCGTTGGTAAAAGTAGGCAAGGTGACGTGGATACCCTCGGGGGGTGTTTTGCGTGGGATCTCTCCAGGGACAGGGGGTTGGAGCCGGAGGG